CTTATATATATATATATATATATATATATGTATATATAAAGAGAGAAATTTAGTAGGAACAAATCGGGCAGGAGTAACCAGTAAAACATTTTAAGGTTGTGCTTTGTTGAATTTCTTATTCCTACGGCAGCATGACTTGACTGCATAGAAAAGAGCGAAAATTTCAAATCGTTGTTTCCCGCCCTTTACGTCGAAAATTCCTTTGACAGAAGAATATCGAAACGATCGAGTCAGGAAAAAAAGAAAGGAATATAGCGTTTTAGTTGAGAGGAAATAAAAAAAAAAACATAACACGCGAAACAAAATCTATCCAGCACGTTGTTTCTTTCTTATCGAAATAGTAGTAGTCATTTTTTTGTTTTGGGCGCTTTACGCATTTCCATTTCGCAGCATAACTCGCGACGGGTTAAAGTTGCCCGAGGGATGGGGGAGGGCTAGGGGGAGGGAGAGGAACGGGCGACGCGTTCGCAAGAACCAATCTCCCCACCAATCCGGCCAATGGCTCACTCACTCTCTATCTCTTTCTCTCTCTCTTTCCTAAAACTCCCTCCTGCTCCTCATCCTCCTCCTTCTCATTTTTTCTTCCTTTCTTTCTTTCTTCCTCAGCGGGCTGGCGTGGCACTCTCGCTCTCTGCGTACGCACTATTTTTTAGTCCGCACTTATTACGACAGATGTCTCATGCTCCGATAAAGAATAACGCCGGGCGAACTTCCGCCCCGCGTGTACTAGTCCTAAGCAGACTCTGCTGTAGCTGCAACTCTGAGAGACTACTTTTTCRTCCGTGCTATATCCTCTCTCTCTTTCTCTTTCTCTTTACGTAGTAGTTGGGGTACTTTATTCTTGTTTTTGTTTTTTTTCTCTCTCTCTCTCTCATTTTTCATATTCAATGAGTTTGTTACTTCTTCTTTTTTTTAGTTTTCTTTTATTTCCATTTTCTTAACTCGTATTAAAGAGACCCAACAACCAGCAGAGAACTCGTTGCGTTCATCGTCATCATCATTCGTCATTCATTTGTGCGCGAGTAGTATATCCCGTTATATTATCATCACTCGTTGAAGTCGTCGTCGTCGTCGTCGTTTACGATCTACGATCGGAGCACGTGTCCTGTCGTCGTCTCTTTCCGTCTCTTTACCCCCTCCCCTTCTACCCGCCCGTCACTCTAACGGCCGATTCGAAATTCCCGCGTTTACCGGGCGCCACGCGTGTCCGCGGCCCTGACGGCGTTTAACGGCTCGCGAGAGAGCAAAAAAGAAAGAAAAAAATAAGCAAAGGAAAGAGAGAAGAAGAAAAAGTAGAAGTAGAAGTAAAAGTAGAAGAGAAAGAAAGAAAGAGAGGGAAGTGGGTGGCGAGAAACTAAACGTGGAAGGAGCGAGGAGGGCAAGTAGAGGGAGGAAAAGATAGCTGCTGCTAGGTCTCCGGATCGCGCGCGCTCGGGCGTTGTATCGTTGAGGGGCACCTCCTTTCTTCCCTACCCCTCTTTACTTACTCTCTTTTTCTCTCTCACTCTTTTGGTGGCGCGCAACCACGAGACCTAACCTCTCCGCACCCTTTTCTCTCGTTCGCCGCGCGCTCTCGGCGAGCGCGTGCGAGAGGGAAAGGAGCGTGCAAGTGAGTGAGTGAGCGAACGAGTGAGAGAAAGAAAGCAAAAAAGAAAGAAAGAAAAAGAGTGAAAGAGAGTGAGAGAGAGAGAATTGCCGGCGCCGCTCCTGTCGTCTCTCGCGACGCCGCGCACTCTCCACTTTTTCGGCGAGAGAGAGCACAAGCACGCCGAGCGACGAGTTGACGCGCGTCCGCACGATCTTACCGCACGGATATATCGTTTCGCGAGAGTGGCGATGATACTGTTACCTTTACCATCACTGTCACCTTCATCGTCACCTTCATCGTCACCGTTATTGTCATCGTCACCTTTGTCATCGTTATCGTCGCCGTTGCTCTTTATTCCGCGTCTATTTCGCCGGTTTCTTTTTATTTTTCTTCTTCGTCTACGTCTTCGTCTTTGTCTTTGATTAAAACGCGTTTATAAAACGCGAATATTATTAAATAATCCTAGTGTGCCTGCTGCTACTGCTGCTGCGGGGCTACTCTTCTCATCCTCATGTCACGACGGTGCGTGAACGACACAACAACGATATAATACGATTATTAAAAAAAGGAATTATACACCTGTTGTGTGTTGTATCGTTACAAATATTTTCTTAACATTACACACATATAAGGTTATTAAATAATAATAGTTCATTATAAAACAAACCAAAAAAAAACAAAAGGAAGTAAAATTTACAATAACGATTAACAGTAAATAACAAATAATATATAAAGAAGAAACCAAAGAATAAAAAAAGGGAAAGATCGTACATGGAGCATGGTGTCTTCCCAAGGCTGAAGAGGGCCAAGAAGGGCGAACACGTGAGCGTTGTCTTCGAACGTTGTCGCGACGAGGTAAAGATATCGCGATCTCCCTCGATTTTTTTTTTTCTAAATTTTCTCCTAATTTTATATAACACATGCACACACACGCGTGCTCACAAATACACTGGTTCACACATTTATTATTTCGAATGATATGAAGTAATCGTATTTCGTTGTCTTTCTTTCTTTCTTTTTTTTCTTATCTCTGATTGTTTTCTTTCTCCTTTCTCTTTCTCTCTCTATTTCTATGTTCAATTTTTTCTCACTCATTTACTATCAGTGAAGAAGAAGAAGAAGAAAAACCATGATATCCTTATCCCTTAAGTCGTCCCCCCGTTCCTTTTCTCCTCTTCCACCTCCTTTGCTCGTTCGTAGCCGGCAACCTTTTCGTACGTTTTCGTGCAAAACCCGAAGAGAGAGAAAGAGAGAGTGAGAGAGAGGCAGACCTTCTCCTAGTAGCCCCGATGCTCGCGTCGCGACGCGCAGTTTTGGGGGTTAGTTCGGGCGCGTACACCGCGTCGTCCGTATCGTCGAGGCCGAGATCGTAACCGGGTTCCGTTGGGATGGATGGATTGATAGATAGAAATAGGGTAAGGGAGAGAGAGAAAGAAAGAGAAAATGAGAGTGTGAGAGAGAGAAGATAGATAGATAGAAAAAAATGCAGAGAGACAATGCAATGAGAGAAGAGATGTCACACCACCACAACAATATACATACTACCTATATATGTGCATACGCGTACGTATGCGCCTTTTTCGAAGTTCTCGCGCGGTTTTGCTCCCCCCACCCCTTTCCAGTTACGAAGCATCCCCGTTTAGTTGTTCGGCCGTTCTCGGTAGTGGCGGCGCGACATATGTATAACTATATATGTTATATTCGAAAATTCGTCGCGTTCAAACGCGAATCGCGATAATAGCATGAGTGAGAAGGAAATGTGCTCGCACGCGGGAACCATCTATTGTCAGTATGTATTTATTTATTTCGATTTCAATAAGATTATCTTCAAAATTGTGTGTGTGTGTGAAGTTTGACAAGGGACAAGAGAGAAGAGAAAAAACTTCGAAACGTGTGATTGAAATTGTTGAGAGAATCATCGTCATCTCAATCTCTCCCTCTCTCTTTCACTTTCTTTCTCTCTTTTTAATTCTTTATTTGTTCTCCATCTGGTACGTGCAATTTTTTTGGTATTTGTCATTAATGTGAGAATCGGCGGAGATCATCTTGGAAGATCGTTTTTGAAGAATCCAAACTGATTCGTAGGAATTAATTTATTTCTTTGTTGCGTGTGTGTGTGTGTGTTGTGTGTATACTGTGCGTAAAATAAAAAGAGTGGGTGGGCGCGCGCGCTTTCACTTGCTCGCTCATTCGCTCATTCGTGTACTCTATGATAACGCGCGCTCCAAATCTTCACGGCTGATCTCGCGGAGGACTATGTCGATCTTTGCGCACTTTTTTTGCGAGGTGGCGTTGCGGAGATAAAACGCGGAACGTTTTATGAGAGTCCATTGTTTCGGTCATTAGCTTACGCGGTATGACGAGCGATAGGTGTGCTTTCGCGATAACGTCCACCACCACTACCACCACCACCATCATCACTACCACCACCACTATCATCATCATCATCGTCACAACTACTATCATACTAAACCTTTATTATTATACTACTACAAATACACTATTACTACTATTACTTTCATTACTATTACACTATTACTACTACCGGCACTATTTACCACTACTATTACTACTACTACTACTACTACTACTACCTTACCATCACTACCACGAGCACTATTATCACCACTACCACTTTTATTATCACCATTAAATATTATTGTTACCTTCCTTTGTTATAAATTGTGTGATTTCCCTTTGGTATATTTTTGTTTCTATTAGTTTTTCGGGAAGTGTGTGGTGAATGTGTGCCTTAACGTGAGTGCGCTCTGACGCTTTTTGATGGCCGTCGCCGTGGCAGCCGTCATTGCGGTTACTTTTTAACGCTTTTATTATATTGGACGAAGAAAAGAAAAAGGAAAGGTAATCGCTCGTTGATTATCACTTTTTCTCTTTCTCTCTCTTTCTTTCTTTATCTTTCTTTTACTCTTTTTATCTCTCTCGTATCTTTTCATCTATCTATGATCGACAAAGATCTTCAATTCTTTCTACACACCTTTTACCAAAAGTAGTTATCGCTCTATTTTTTCTTTTTTTTTTCATTCACGAGGTGGTGGCAAGCGTGTGCACGACGCGTGAACAACCTAAAGAGGAAAAAAAAACAGAAAGATAGAAAGAAAGAAAACAAAAAAAAAGGCTCACTTTTACGCACTTCCCGTACGGATATTTCCCGCGCTAAACTTTCGTCTCTCGTCAATCATCGTCATCATCATCATCATCGTCATCATAGTCGTCGTATATACAAGTCCTGACTTTCTTGTGTTTTTTCGTTATCGGTTTCTTGAATGTTATGCGATATGTATATATGTATGTATGTGTGCGTCGTCCTACATATCGTGTCTTCGCATCAGTTTCATTTTCATTTTTTATTTCTTCTTTTACTTCTCTCTTCCTATTTTTTTTCTTTTCCTCCCCCGTTTACTTTTTATTCTAACCATCACGCCATTTCTTTGACTGTATTTTTAAAAATTATTTTCTCATTTTTTTTCCTTTTCGATATTCCTTCGATATTTCCTCTCCTTTTCGAGAGAGAGAGAGAGAGAGAGAGAGAGAGACTTTCGTAAAGTCCTTCGTAAAAAAAAAAAATCCGCGTACAGTGGGCACTATTATTCTCTTGTGTTATCAAACAATATTTGGCGATTCTCACGAGACTTCAACAAAACTTATCTCGAATTCGTCAGACATAAATTTAGCGGGGGCTGTACGATAGTGTGTAGCGTTGGTTAAAAAAAAAAAAATATCTGTGAGAATGTGTTCCGGTCTAAATGTATTTTATTTTTTTTGTATTTCAATTTAGTGTCTTATGTTTGTCCAGTGATAGGTCCAGACTTTGTGTACATATATATATTTATATAGTATAGTGTGAGTTAGAAAGTTTAGCAACGATAAGGAGGTTGATTGAATTACTGCGTTAAATGATTTCGAATTGGAGAGACCGAGTGCGGAGATAGTTTATGTTTTTTTCCTTCAGTTAGGTTATTCCTGAATATATCAATCCAGTAGAAAGAGAAAGAGAAAGAGAAAGAATCATGTCAAACGTTATAATTATAACTTCGAGCAACAATATAATTATGATTAATGGCGTGCTTTCAAACAGCTTGGAAATCTTTTTAACTAGAAATGTATTGCTACACTTATGCAGGGAATCGACTCTGCAAATTTGTTTTAAGATTTTTTTATCATTTCGCTAAGATAACACTATCAGCATACATTTAATGCTTGCGCTTTTATAAGTAGAAGAGGAATATTATTTAATCGTATGTTCTGGACTGGCTCCAGCTTGACGACCTAATTTCTTTTTCTGTGACTAAATAAAAATATGAAATATTATTGATTTGTCATTTCTTTTTTTTATTTTTTTATTATTATTATTATTATTATTATTATTATTATTTTCATTTTCTTTTTTTCTTCTATAATAAAGTACGTTATTAAGTATTTATTTACGTTTGCTATTTGAGGATTGTATATCATCTTTTCTCTTTTTTTTCCTTGTGTGTTTGAAGTCTCGTTTAAATTGTTACTCATATTCGTATAAAATGCATAATATTTTTTTCAATTAATTATTTTTTTTGTATTCATTAAATTTCAATTTATATATATATATATATATACATGTTGAGTATATCACACGTTATAGTTCAATATATAATTAATTTTTTATTTCCATATTATCGATTACGTAATTCTTTATCCAGCTAATAAAATGTAATGGACATCTGTTTTAATAAAGCATTTGTGTTCGAGTACAAATATCGTACAATTATCTCGGTTTTTTTTTTTTTATTATATAAGTAAATAAGATGGAAAGAGCATAATATTTATACGAATAATTGAATTTGTAAAAATAACAAAAAATTGTTATATAATATTGAATTTGTACAGGAATAGGTGATAAATAAAATCTAATGTTTGTTCACAGGTGAATAGATATAACGATGGTAGATACGCAACACTTTTGTCTGCGATGGAATAATTACCAAAGCAGCATAACGTCAGCTTTTGAAAACTTGAGAGATGATGAGGACTTTGTGGACGTTACGTTGGCTTGTGATGGCAAAAGCCTCAAAGCACACCGAGTTGTACTCTCTGCTTGCAGTCCATACTTTAGGGAACTTCTCAAGGTACATATATATGATATATTTTTTATATTTATTATGTTCTTTTCTTGAAAAAAAAAAAAAAGAATAAGTTTAACTAAAACTATTTAAGAATGTTTATAATTTTTATTATTTCAGAGCACACCATGCAAGCATCCGGTGATAGTACTTCAGGATGTATCGTTCAATGACTTACATGCCTTGGTGGAGTTCATCTACCATGGGGAAGTGAACGTACATCAACGTTCTCTCAGCAGTTTTCTCAAAACTGCAGAAGTACTTAGGGTATCGGGTCTTACACAACAGGCTGACCAGACAGATAGGGACGAGGTGAGTAGCTAATTAATTCATAAGAAACATATTTTATTTATTACTATAAAACATACAGTGTGTTTTACTTAATGTATAAATAAATGGCATGGTCGAGAGTTAAAATCAGATATAATATAGAAAATCGGTATCGTTGAGATTAGTTTCATTTATAAAATAAAGAAAATTGAATATGATCAATTAGAACGATGATGATCAGGTGCAAATGAATTTGATTGTATCCCATACATATTATTTATTTTTTGTTAACTCAAACGTTGTACCTGGAAAATGAAATTTTTTTTTTTTTCTAGACATTTACTCATCGCTAATAATAATCGCACGTGGTGACTCTAATGAAACGTTTTTTGCTACGATTTAGCTCTCACATGTTCGTGCACTGGCTGCTGGTGTTAATCATCTTCCTTTTCACGAAAAATCAGAAGAAAGTTTTCCTCGTAGTGGTTCACCACCCGCACCAACAACACCTACACCTACGACGATGCAACAAATATTACGTAGAGCACAAATACGTAGGAACGAGAGGCGTACACCGGATTTTCACGAGGATTCGGCGAAAAGATCGAGGGTGTCCTCGCCTCCTCTCAACAACAATGACGCCACGCCGACCGATTTTTCGGTGAAAAACAATCATTTGTCGACTAAAGTGGAAGGTAATGGGGTACACGAAGAAAACAGTCCAATAGAAGATAATATAAAGTGCGAACCTTTGGAATTGACCGGTGGTAATGGTGGGAACGTCGGTAACAACGAGGACTCATCAGATTCGGGAGCAGCGGCATCGGATAGGCCACCGGCGTCGGCGAGTAGTAACGAACACGAACCTGAACCTGAACATCCACCTACGCAAAATTTTATGCCAGAAAGTAAATTGTTCACATCGACGCCAGGAAGTTTTAACTTCAGTATGGCAGCCCTAACGGATCACACGCCATTGTCAGGTACGTCAGAATTTTATTATCGAATCGGGCCTGTACGCACACTAAAAACACCACAAACACATCCATCTTTCCCAATATTTATTCTTAGAAAATTATATTCGTAAACACCCCCCCCCCCGGTAACACCACGTTTTAAGGTTTTGATCTCCGTGCTTTCGCGTTAAATTCGTCCTTCGTGTATTGAATTTTTTTTAAACCCTTCAGGAACGTTAGATATTGTTATTATAATAATAGACGATATTCAATATTACGAGGGATTCGCATTTCTTTTTAGTTGCTTTCTTTTTTTATTGTCTTAAAACGTACGACGATGAAAGTCCGATCGTATTACGGTTAATTTTTCATTTCACTTGCGAATACATTTTTATTGTTACGTTCCCCGGTGTATACAATAACTCGTTATGTCACTATTATCACTTATTATTACTTTATCGGCTATCATGTTGTTGTTTTTTTTTTCTTTTCTTTTTTTTTTATTACTACTTGGCGACGTTCTCATTAATTGCGTACAGGCCTTTAATTCGATTTATATAAACGAGAACTACCGTCGCTATGCATGACAATAGTGAAATTTCCAGGGTTGAGCCACGGGTTGCAAACGCCGGATTTAGCAGGAACTTCGCAAGGTAAGAAAATTCTGTTCTTTATTAGCTCCGTCCAATCAGAGATCAATGGAATATTCTGAAATATTTCGAAATTTATGATCTTTTATTTTTTTATACTTATAAAATATATTAAATATGTGATTTGTATTTGTTTATTTTTTTTTAAATGTAATAAAATTTTGAAGGATATTCTATTGATCATCTTAAAAAGGACAATTCTACACTTACACTCTTCCTATGATCTTTCATCGATACGTCGCAGCCACGAACCGCTTGCGGTGTAACGAGTCGATCTAATAAAAAAAAAAGATATACAAAAAAAAAGTAACTAAAAAAGACTTGTGCAGTTATATCAAACTAACAAATCACAAATTAAAAAAAAACAAACAAACAAACAAAAAAAGAATGAATTTATTTATTGGTTGCGGTGAAAGAGCACTTATTTACTGTCTGCTTGGAAGATATTAAATTTCTTCTAATTGGCATGCGTTTTAAAAATCATCGTTTATCATCATACAATACGATGTCATCATACGATTTCGCTTGCATTCTACATTTCATGATAATCATAATGGTGTACGAGGATATCTGTATATTTCGGTGATATCAAAGGCGTGGAATTTAATATAATAATAGTTTGTTTTCGATCATCTATCACGCGACTATAATAATTATTATTATAGTCTGTTAAAAAAATATAAATAAAAAAGGGAAAAATAAAAACTAACAATTATATTCGTTTGATGAATATCCAATTGTCAAATCTATTTGATTATTATTGAAATTTGTGGTGTATTCGTAATAATGTTTTTGTTTTTCTTTTTTTTCTTCCTCTTCTTTAAAATTTAACACATCAAAGTAAAAAGAAAACATATATATATATGCATACATATATCTTGTAAAGCTTACAAAATTAATTATGGTTGGGGTTATGATAAATGATTACATATTCCATTCTTCTTCTTCTTCTTCTTCTTCTTCTTTTTCTTTTTCTTTTTCTTCTTCTCATTCTTCTTCCTTTCTGTTTTTTTTTTTTTTGGTCACGAGATAGCAAAACGGGGATTGAAAGATTCTTTTCACTCGCCATTGTATCGCCGATTATGCAGTATCATTAGAAAATAATTGGCACAAGTAGTAACAATGACAAAAATATTATATCAGTTTGGCATTGCTGTACAAAGATAAGTCTATTGCAATCATCCGTTACTTTGTTAGCTGTATTAGTAAAAGATATAAAGGGTAAACTTTATGGAATCAAAGAAAATAAATGAATAAATAACGAATGCGGTGGCAAAATAGTCCAAATCCACTCAATTATTTTATTCTATTATACATATATATATATATAATGATTGATCATCATTATCATAATCATCATTATTGAAAACCTTTTAATTTGGATCATAAACGCGCGGGATTTATGACGATTCATCTATTAATGACAATATTTGTATTCGCGTTTTTTTATATGTTATTATTATTATTATTATTATTATTATTATTATTATTATTATTATTATTATCTTGTTAAAGTTAAATATTATAGTAATCATTCGTGTATTTTGTATTATAATTATATCAATTTGTCCTTTCGTATCAATTCAAAGTGCGACTGAAAAGTTATCAGTTGTCCGAAACGAATCGAATGTTGTTAACTATTTTTTTTTTTTTTTT